GCTTCTTCTATGCACTGTGCTAGACGTTTACTGTCCTCCTAGGCCGGTGTAAGCATAGTGGATGAACTTCGTTGCGCAGTAATGCGTACCCGTAGTCTCTTGTTGTCCTGTACGAAAGTCGGTTAGGAAAATAGAAACAGGACGTGAATCTACTGACCTTTTGGAGCTCGCGCGCCAAATTCTCCATTTTAACTTTAGTCTGGTTAGCCTTCGTCAGTTGACCCTTTGCTTTAGGAATACAGTGGAGTATGAGTGATTTAGAACGGAGTGGGTCAATAGTACATACCGGCATCCTTGTCCTTGACCAATTTCTGTTTTTCCTTTGCATGGTCGCGTTCCAATCGCTTGAGTTCTGCGAACTGTAGTTCCGTGATTCAGAAATGCATATATCGGACATGCGAATGATAACGCACGAGTTCAATGTACTTGGCATGAACTGCATTCTCCTCCATGCCTTTCACCGACTTTACAGCCTCCTCCGCTGATGAACATATGAGTGGTGTATGAATTTGAGAAGTAGGACACACGTACCAAATATCCTCTCTTCCTCTTCCTCGAGCACCTCCTCCTCTTCGAGAGCTGCGATCCTGCTCTTCAGAGACTCATACATAGCAGCAGGATCGACAGGTGTATCGTTCTTCTTCTTTCCTTTCTGATTGTGCGTATAAGACCCATTAACGACGGTGTTATTGGAATGAGGTGGTAGTGTTCGATTTGGAGTGGGTGAATTTGGATGATTAGGAAGAAGCGGAGGCGCGAGAGAAGGCGCAGAAGGAGCGAGACCCGTTGGAGGAGGTTTGGCTGGCCGCGAACCTATTGCATTCTGACTGGGAAGGGTATTTGTACCGTTCATAGGTATTTGATCCCCAGACGTCGTGCTGGTGGACCTGCGCGGTCGGCGAGGGATACAAGGTATGAAGAACTTTAGGAAAGCAATGTTTTGAGAGCGTGGAGGTTAGCTGCAAGGCTTTTGTTTGGTTAGACCAGATTGATTAACAATAAATTTTCAAAGACGGAATGTACGGAGAGTCATACACTAGACTGGCGTTAGTAGTAGTAGTGGCTGATCCAAGGCTGCCAGATCAATATTTGCGTTTCAACTAGGCCGAGAGCCGAGAACCAATCTCAATGAAATCAAATTTATTGTTCCACATCCTACAGAGACTATCTGCATAAAAACATAGCCCGGTATCAGAACAATGTCAGATCGGAATAATGCCACCAAGTCCATCAATTCAAGTTTGTTGTTCGAAGCCTTCAGTGGAACGGCTTCAACCATTGGGCTGATGTAAGGCCACACGTGATCACATTTTAAGACGCGTCGCGTAGATGGCTGAGACTCGCTTCCAACGTTCTTCCAACTCTTGGCACAAACATTCAAACGACCTTGTAACTGTAACAAAATATGTATAACCTAGGTGAGTTGTTCCAGGATCTTCTGCTCAGGCTTGACATGCAACTTTGCAGATTCTTCTCCGAGTCCACCCAGGAAGAAGATGAGAATGTCTTCTCCGACCTATGACGAACAAGTCGATGACATGAGTCAAGATGATATAAGCGCTTTTGACGCCATAGAGGCACGCCTGTCTCAATCAGCTCCTCCACTTCACAAAGTACCTCTACCCACCAACTCGCACCGCAGGCTCAGCCCGGGCGAAGCTGGAGATCGAAGCATTTCGTCCGATCAGGACCTACTTTCTTCGCAAGACATGGCTTCTCAAGGCGACAACAATCCGTTTGCTTCGGCAAATGACCCATTTGCCCCGAAACCAGCCTGTATATGCATCTTTTACTAAAGCATCTACCGTTCTCCCACCAGTAGGCTTCAAGTCTGCATCGGCTTTGCCTATCGAGAATGTGGATGACTCACACCGTTCGCCTTCACCTGAGACTCCCTCAGAAGTCGATTACTCTTCGTGGTTTACTTCGGCTCCTCCTGCAACTTTTGTAGGCTGTCAATCTGCTGCGTCTCGCCTTGACAAAACCAAAGAGAATGTTTTCGAGGCGACTGCTAGCCACAACACACCTATAGGTTTCACGTCCGTCGGCAAAGGGAATCTCATCGTCCCCTCGACCGCTGCATTGCGCAAGGCCGAGGAAAAGATTAAGTTGTGGCAGGGAGAAGTTGATGACCCTAGTTCCTCCCAACATTCCTGACGTTGGGGTTGCGCCCGCTTCCACTGCACAACCATCCTCGCCTCAGCGCACCGTTCTCGGAGCAGTGCACAATTCGTTTCCGCCCCATGTACCAGACACGCCGACTCCTGCGATGGTATCGCGAAAGTCATTTGAAGCTGGCGCACGATCGATACTTGGCCCACCAACGCTTGGTGTCAGCGACTTCAAGGGAAAGCAGAGACCGTTCAAATCTCCTTTGGTCACCTCCGCACCGTCACGACAGCCTCTCGCAGGGACAGCTAGTTCTACATATGTCAACTCTCCCCTCAACCCTCATCGTCAGGGCTTTGCGTCCGCATCTTCTCATATGCCTTCATCTAGTTCTGCCGTACCAGCAACGCCTGTCCGTCCACTAGCATCAGTGAATCCCGGGAGCGCATTCCGACCTTTAGGTCTGACTCCACGAAATTTACATGGCGGTCTGGTCAAGAACAAGTTCGTGACGCCGTTCAAACCAGGCGTCAAGCCTCCAGAATTGAGCAATGCGGCATCAGTTACGCCGTTATTTGCTGCCCCAAGTCCCAGCTTACAGCGACCTATGTATCCGCCTTCAGCAACCCAATCTCCTAGGCCAGTAAAAAAGGTTCCCGAAAAGGGCACAGGCAAAGTATTCAACCTTGGTAGGTGTTTAACTGCAGTGTTCTACTGGACAACTTATCAGTTTGGTTACAGCCCGTCCTACAGGAAGGATGACACTCGCCACCTCCAATCTTACACCTCAGGCCTACACAACTGCAGAGCTGGAGGATCAGGGAATGTCAGTCAGTCAACTCAGCTGCAGTGCTAATCACTAACACGCTTCCATATAGAAATGTCACAGAACTATCTCAGATAACACCAGCTACCGCTCTCTTTTACACATTTTATACGCCATCTGCTACGCCGATCGAAGGTGCCCAGCCCTCTGATGCGAAGCCTCTTGGACCTGCTGCCGCTCTAGAAGAACTCCACGCAAGAGGGTGCTCGTTGGCCACACAGGAATGGGTCAACAATCATTGGCCGCTTATCCTCTGGAAGCTCGCTGGCATGGTCACACTCGAACCAGAAGCAGAGTCCGATCCCGATCGCAAACGGTGGTGCTGGCCCGAAGTGATCCGTCAGCTACTGTACAGGTTGCGCCGTCTATCTATCTGTTTCTTCCGTGACTGACTGTAGACCTAGATACGAACGAGACCTAAATGGGTCATCGCGACCACCACTACGGCTGATTACTACCAGAGATGCGCCTGCCGCATCTCCGATGGTGCTCTGCGTGTCAAACGTGACTTGGTCACCAGCTGGAGAAAGTGACGATGGATTTCCTATTCCTTCACATCCAGAGTTAGAGGTGACAGACGGATGGTATAGACTGCGCGCGAGGGTCGACAAGCCGCTTGCGAGAGCGATCCGCAAGGGTCATATCAAGATCGGGAGGAAAATTGCTGTTACTGGAGCCAGGGTAAATACTGGAACTTGCTTTATATCGTCGCATTGGTTGACTTTTCGTACAGCTCTCTGCAGAGCGCAAAGATGGACAAGAAGTCCTCGAAGCATATGAATCAAATGTCCTGGTGCTGACAGGTAACTCGTCCCATATGGCCCCCTGGCACGCAAAGCTTGGCTTCCAACGAAGTCCATTCATTGCAACGTTCAACAGTCCTCACGGCGGACGGTGGAAACGTGTCCGTTGCAGCCGTCGAAGTTATTAAGGTAGGATGAGCGCGCAACAATCAGACGTAGCTGACTCCCATTTAAAGATTCATCCCGTCGCATATATCGAATTCATCGAAGACGAAAACGGGAAGCGGATGGAGGGCCCCCGTAGTGCCAAGGATGAAAACGCCTTGAGTGAACGATGGATGGTGAGTTGAAGAGCTCTGCACTAATTCTAGCGCTCACATTCTATGTCAGAGGAAGCGCGAACTCGCTGCATCAAAGATTTGGTTAGATCTTGAAAGACGAGCGGCGTCGATGGCGGGGTATGCAGAGAGCCTTGAACAGCGTGTGGGTCCAGGCTTCAATGCCAAAAACGAAGGTGAGAAGGCCGCAGCCGACGTTGTACGGTGCTCACGGACTGTTTCAGAAATGCCGGACAACCTTGACGAATTGTATGAATCTTTGGAGGAGAGTGATCGTTTTCAAGCGCAGGCGATACTCTCACGGCTCAGCCGCGTTGGAGCAAGCGGTCTTGCTGCGCACATCAGAAAGAAGCTTCTCCAGGATCGCGAAGCTGTCGCGGGAGACATCGAGCGAGAATTACAAGTAAGCTTGACAATCTGCATCCAGTAGTTTTTTACTGAGTGTTCCCAGGACAAATGTCCCGCTCGGGAAGTACGGAGTTTCCGTGTTATCATCGTGAAGGATGCATATACGCCTACACGAGGCGGTAACGATGGCCGCAAAGCCCAGTTAACCGTCTGGGATGTACTCAACTTGTCGATTGCTGAAGGATCTCAAGCAGGGGAGTTTAAATTGGGCCAGAAGTTCCTCGTGAGTGATGTGTTTGAGGAGGAGTAGGAGTCTCGTCTTATGATTTGCGCCAGGTGACAAATTTGATGCCCAAACAAGTATCTGCCTGGATGGACCGTGGCCCTGGATCTGAAGTGTATCTTGCCACCACAAAGAATTCCAGGTGGAGAAGGTTGCCGCGACTGGACAATTGCTGAGGATAATGCGAGAGGGAGACTTTTTATTAGGTGTAGTGTGTAGGTTGGGTGTAATGATATTATATCATAGCTTCCGAGTCAGGCCAGCTTCACAGACGACCTCCAGATCGTCGATAGGAACTAACGATCGGCTTGTTGATACTGAGCAAATTGTTACACTACGCACACCTCTGCCACTCGGATATGGTGTAAAGGTAACATATCCGCCTCTCATCGCAGGGTGCGCGGTTGCTCGGGGTTCGATTCCCCGTATCCGAATCATTTTGCCTCCATGATCGTCCAATCCCGATGAACTACTTCAGTCCTATTTTTTGTTTCTCTTACTTGAGATATATCGCTTACTATGGATGAATTGAGTCACTCCGGGGCAGCAACATTCGAAGCTCTTGCCCCACCTAAACAATACCAAAATTCAACTATCTACCAGGGTAAACACCACTGTGTCTTTCGACACTCCCGATTTGCCGTTGACTGTCGGCAAGTTATGTACCTGAAAACTAAGAATCCGTTCACCTTGAAGTACTAGTACTATCAATCACATGAAGTGAGTTATTCCATGAACCCGTGGCGCAGTGGTAGCGCGTATGATTCCAGCTGAACTTCAAGTTCTGGATATCCATAAGGTCATCCGTTCAATCCGGGTCGGGTTCACTTTTTCTTACATGAAAAACGGCGTGTCCAAATTCGTGCATCGGCGCCATGGTGGCTGGTTCTGCGGGTACACCCATCCAGAATTTGAGCATGGCCGGTCTGGCGCCATGCGGATCCAATCACAGAGCAAACTGTTCACAAGCGCGCTGTTGCTGTTGCGCTGTGCCATTTACCAGTATTCCCTTGGCATACTTCTATCGTGTTGAGCATGTCACCGCCGCTTGTGTGCAGCGCGTCTTAATCCCGCAAAATATTAAGTTCCCCACAGCAGTTGCAGTGTCTCAAAGCGCCAGTTAACCGATTGGGTCACGACCGCCGAGGAGGTGGGATATTTGCGATCAGCGGTAGGTGAGTCATTGCAAATTTTTCTTTAAAGATGAATGCTCAATTTTCGATAACAGCTTCGCAACGCTGCATGCCAGTACACGCTACTCGGGCAAGCGTCGAATAAATGTAGGCAATGCTAATGGCCAAATGCGACCGCGGCTTCTGCCCCACGGATTGACAGTTTGTCGCCTGAGACGGTGCTTGCCGCTCAGGGATTCGTTATCTCATTGGTGATAGCCTAGTAGCTATCAGATGGTTGCGAACGACACAGTGGTGAACCAGACCACACTAGTAATGATTAGACAGTGGCAGGTGGCCGGCAATTTCATTTTGCATTATCATGCGCTTACGGGTTGATAAACACTGATATCAGAATTCTTTGCGTGCATTATAGCACAGGCGTTGACCATGAATCCCTCATATGGATCCAACACAGCTTCTCACCACGAGATATTTATGCTCTCGAATCTCCATCTTTTCACAAGGTAGTCGCCTATGCTCGACCCTCCAAGGAACCTCATATTAACTTGTGCTTCCGTGCACGAAATCGCCCGAGATACTCTCGTATTTGAATCTGACTTAAGTGATCCAGTGATACGACCGTAATCATGGGCATACCTATGGACACAGCTGCTTTGTTAGGTTTATTTCTCGAGACCTTTTTTTATGGTGCGTAACCTATCAGTGGACAGGTCATGGTGTCGAATTTCACCATCCCAAACAGGCGTATTTCTCACTTTGTATTGGTTCACGTTGTTCATCCTACTCAAGAAGACCGGCATTCAACGACAATTCCTTCTCCCAGCGGCAACCTTGCTGCTCTGCATTGCAACGGCCGTAAGTCACTGAGTATAGTCAAACCTCTCGGGGGGAATAGCTCAACACGATCACTTTCAGCATCTAATCATCGATTTTGTTCGAGCGTTAGAGGCATTCATATTCAAGGTGGACACGATTGGTGCAAATGCCTACTATTCCAACTTTGATTCGCCATTGTTTGTTGCATCAACGGCACTTTGCGTCACGCAAACCATTCTCGCCGATGCGATAGTCGTGAGTTTCTCCACTTGGCACGTTTACTTTCCCCTCTGAGTAGGGCCGTAGGTGTGGAGATGCTACGTGCTTAACAACAGAAGCCTGTTAGTTGCCGTTCCTGGCTGTATCATGCTCGTAGTCAACGTGGGTGAGTATCTCGAAAGGCACTATTCGACCATCGTCTCATCACGAAACATTTCGCAGTCACTGGATACTATGGCGTCGGGTCCCTTTCTCGGGCTCGTCTGCTATCTAACGTTCCCCCCGCTGATTATGGGTGTATCGCTACATTCGATACATTAACCATGGTTCTCAGTGTTACCAGTACCAGTATGTCGGTTGCACTTAATCCTCCAGACTCCTAATGACCAGAGAAATGCAGCTTTGAATGCCTGGCGCATCTATCGCACTCGCCATTTCGTGCCAGAGGGCTTTGCCGCTTTTCTACCCGTTTTCGTCGTCGTCATTGAGAGCGGCGTTTTTTATTCCATGAGCATCCTTATGCTGCTTCTAACATTCTTTATCGGATCCAACGGCCAATATACCATGCTGGACATCATCACTCCTATTGTAGTGAGTTTATTGAACTTAGACCCAAGCTATTCACAAGACTTTTGTTCAGGGGATCACATTCTGCCTCATCATTCTGCAAGTGCACTTCGACGTAGGTGGCAACTCGCCGACCGAAAAACCCACTGAAGCAAGGAGTATCACCACCACCCTGTTTCGGGAGCGAGGTGTACAGGAGGGCTTCAGCATGGATCCAATGACTGTGTACATTGCAGAGGAAACGGAGATTGTTCAATCTGATATAATGGGCAGAAGGAAGACGGTCGTTCCTTCTGTATTAGAAAGAACAGTCAACGAGTCTCGGAGGGTGTCTTCCAATTGTAGATAGGTCCGTCTTCTATTCTCCGGTAAGTAGATATACTAGATACACCAGTTCTCTTTGAATGACAACTTGTAACGGAAGGACGGTGGCCAGTTCACAGCAGTCTAGTTTCATCGATGTCCTTGAAAGTGCAAACGTTAAACAAGATTTCTTGCGTCTCCATAATAATTCACAGTAATCAAGAAGGAACGCCTATCTTCGTTCGTCGGGGAGATTAGGCGGAATTTACGCTAAGCGCTTATATATATGTCATGGCTTTGTCCTGATATACTCTTCTTTGCCTTCATCGTATATCCATTCCTTTGGCCACGTAGGCGAAATTTCCCTCCAGTGCATGAAATATGCCTCCAATCTCTCACGTCGCCCTTGCTCTGCGCGCACCACATCCCTCACCTTCTTCGCCTGCTCTCTTAGTAGTTTTGCTTTCTCGTGGAGAGCGGCACTCTGAGCGAGAATGTGCTGATCGTCGGATGTGATCTGGTTCATGATCGCCACCGCCCGCTTGAGCATTTTTGGTTCTTCGAGCGGCGGGGTCCCTGAACGCGAGCTGACGGGGGAGTCATGCTGACTTGCGTAAGACAAATAAGAATCAGAATCACTGGTGTCATCGCCTGGAGCTGGGTGCCCAGTGTGACTTTCCAGTACTGGTGAAGGGCCTTGCAATATTGCTGCTGAATCTTCAGCAGTGGCGTCGACAGTATCTCTGGCTACTGTTATCGAAGCACTTTTTTCTGCGCTGGGCGCAGATTTGTGAGGACGTTCCTGGGTGGGAGGATGATCAACTGGACAGATGTCAGGTTTCTTGTATTACGACACGGCACACGACACTCACGACTTGTGTCCACAGGTGCCTGCATGATTTGTGTCGATGGACCAATAACTGAAGGAATTTCCTCTTTTGGTGGCCCAGAAGGAGGCTGGTCATCCAGACTAGTTCTCAACTTCTCCTTCGGAGGCTCTTCACTCCCTTCATCTTGACTGAGCCACCATCAGAACGGTCCATTACGTCGAGCATGAAGCGGGGGACCTACTTTGGCGGAACAGCCTTGCAGAGCCTTAAGAGCTCTTGGATGATCGACTCGCTCTTCATGTTAGCCTTAATCTTATTTTCCTGTTTCCTAATCAATTACTGTGGCATTCAGAAACAATAAATGCGAAACACACTTTCGCGAGCTTTTGCAGCTTTGCACGGGTTAGCTTGCGGAGTGTGCCTTCGTCCATATCGAGTGTTCCCGGAATTGTAGCTATGATCGGGTACTTGGATGTGTGCACGATGTGATCAAGGGGTGTGTCGTTCATTCTGTGTAGTGTTGTCTTTGGTGCACGGATACACAGATAGAGAGAAATGCTGCTGGTCGTTGCGACTGACGGGCTTGTATAAAATAAAGATGAAGAGCAATCGGGGTACTATTTATTGGTATGGGATGTGGCTGGATGTGTTCTGCAAGTATCCACAACTTAAATCCACACCTATTGTGGTGGGACAGATCTATCCACAATGGACTTGTGCCACAAGCTGTTAAGGGTGCCGGCTTCAGTGCTCCGGTCAAATCACTGTTGGAGTTGATGAACACGAATAACTAACAACACTCCGCTCGTACATCACGGACCTTGGGCACTCCCCTGTGCTCCTACCAAGCTCCCGCTCTGGGATGGACGAGCCATAGTCATATAATTCTAGCATGCTGACTACGCAGATTGTGGTGACTTCTCTTGAATGGAAAAACTCATCTTGAGTGGGGGGAGTGAGTGATCAATAGATCAGACCCGAGGATGCCTTGCGGTAGGACGCTCTCAAGGATCAGGTGTTCAACAAGGTGAGTTGATTTCCTGTATCCTTTCATCATCTCATTTCGCGTTTAGAATAGAGCACGTAACAATATGCGCCTTTTCCCCCTGGCTCATGAGCCCGTATAGTTGCTCAATTTCTGTGACCCGCACTGTACCGGAGTCTATCATGGTGTTTGTTTGGAATGAACAGGTTGTGCGTTCCACCACAAGTCTTCTGGTCACGTTCCACATTGGATCCTCGCGCCGACTACCACACTGCGCGCTCGGTCACCTGTATGCTTTCGCTTAGCATGAGAAGTCATAGAAAGTATCAGGTGGAGGTCATGATCTACGACTACGGATGTCCTTATACAGACTCAAGATGATATCGTTCACAGTGAGGGTAATGATGCTACGAATGACAGTCAGAAGGGTGCACATCTTGCAAACCGAGAACATCTCACGTATGAGGCGCAACGCGAAGAAACTGTGCAGTTGAACCTAAAATGCGTATTTTCAATAAGACTTGTCGCGGTATGTGTGCCACTACATACCCTTGTACCACCCGAACACGCCCTCGGTC